TCATTGTAAATAAGAATTTGTTCTTAACTGACTTGCCTAGGTTAAACAAATGAAATTGAGAGTTATGTGTCAACTACATTTACATGTTGTACGCATGAAGATTAAATATATATCCACTCCAGAGAGCCAGAGGTTAGAGTGTGCTCTAATGACTGTGTGTGTGCCCTGGTTAGCTAACTGCTCTATCACTCATGATGTTATAGTAGGCCTCATAGTAATTTATGTTTGAATAGTATGTATATTAATGAATCACAAACCAGTGGGTCATTTTTCAGACTCATTCAGCAGGATGGCTAGACAGATTATGGTTTGAGAATGATGTAAAATGATACTTGATCATATTTTGAAAAAAATCAATTTCCAGTCTTATTAGTCATCTCTGTTATTATGATGATTGTGGTAAGGATACTGGCAAGAGGCTATTTTACTTAAACAGATTCAGTGACACTGGGAAGGATATCGCTTCCTCCCTTCAACACACACACACACACACACACACACACACAGAGAGTACAGCTGATAAATCTTCTGCTGAATATTTTTAATGGAAAAATTCTCTCCTTATACGCTCTTATCACTCCCCGTCCTCCTTCCTTTCTGCAATCCTCCAAATGGATTATATTTTCTGCCTAATTTGGCAAATGTTGTGTCCCAGAGTGGACTGAGAAATAAAGAGGGAACGAGGGAGGGAATGAGAGAGGGAACGAGGGAGGGATGACATAAGCACTACTGCTCCGCTGCATGTATTTTATCTCTCTCTCACACAGCCCTGAAAAAACTGTGGTGCTTCAAAATCAAGTTTTATTGTCACGTGCACAAGTACAGTGAAATACCTTTCTTGCAAGCTCTTCCCCACAATGCAGTAATCAATGTCAGTAGTAAAAATAATATACTATAAAATAAAGTAAAGTAGAACAAAAACACACGAGAAATAGAACACAGTACCATATTTACAATGTGCAGGGATACTGGAGTGGTAGGGTTAGATATGTACAGGGGTAAGGTGACTTGGCATCAGGGTGTATGATAAACAGATTAGCATCAGCATATATGATGATTGTGCGTCCGTTATTTAAAGGGAGAGATCAAGCTGATCCTAACTGTTATAGGCCAATTTCTATCTTGCCCTGTTTATCAAAAGTGTTGGAAAAACTTGTAAATAATCAACTGACTGGCTTTCTTGATGTCTATAGTATTCTCTCTGGTATGCAGTCTGGTTTCCGCTCAGGTTATGGATGTGTCACTGCAACCTTAAAGGTCCTAAATGATGTCACCATTGCCCTTGATTCTAAGCAATGTTGTGCTGCTATTTTTATTGACTTGGACTAAGCTTTTGATACAGTAGAGCGTTCCATTCTTGTAGGTCGGCTAAGGAGAATTGGTGTCTCTGAGGGGTCTTTGGCCTGGTTTGCTAACTACGTCTCTCAAAGAGTGCAGTGTATAAAGTCAGAACATCTGCTGTCTCAGCCACTGCCTGTCACCAGGGGATCCTAGGCCCCACGCTCTTCTCAATTTACATCAACAACATAGCTCAGGCAGTAGGAAGCACTCTCATCCACTTATATGCAGATGATACAGTCTTTTACTTAGCTGGCCCCTCCCTGGATTTTGTGTTAAACGCTCTTAGTGTCCAACAAGCTTTCTCTGCCCTTAACCTTGTTCTGAATACCTCTAAATCAAAGATCATGTAGTTCGGTATGAAGAATGCCCCCCCCCCCCAAGTGTGATTACTACCTCTGAGGGTTTAGAGCTTGAGGTAGTCACCTCATACAAGTACTTGGGAGTATGGCTAGACGGTACACTGTCCTTCTCTCAGCACATATCTAAGGTTAAATCTAGACTTGGTTTCTTCTAACGTAATCGCTCCTCTTTCACCCCAACTGCCAAACTAACCCTGATTCAGAGGATAATCCTACCCATGCTAGTTTACAGAGACGTAATTTATAGATCGGCAGGTAAGGTTGCTCTCGAGCGGCTAGATGTTCTTTACCATTCGGCCATCAGATTTGCCACCAATGCTCCTTATAGGACACATCACTGCACTTTATACTCCTCTGTAAACTGGCCATCTCTATACCCAACGCAAGACCCACTGGTCAATGCTTATTTATAAAACCCTCTTAGGCCTCTCTCCCCCCTATCTGAGATACCTACTGCAGTCCTCATCCTCCACATACAACACCTGTTCTGCCAGTCACATTCTGTTAAAGGTCCCCAAAGCGCACACATTCATGGGTCGCTCCTCTTTTCAGTTTGCTGCAGCTAGTGACTGGAACGAGCTGCAAAAAAAACATTAAAACTGCACAGTTTTATCTCCATCTCTACATTTAAAGACTCTTACTGACACTTGTGGCTGCTTCGCATGATGTATTGTTGTCTCTACCTTTTTGCCCTTTGTGCTGTTGTCTGTGCCCAACAATGTTTGTGCTGCTGCTATGTTGTGTTGCTACCGTGTTGTTGTCATGTAGTGTTGCTGCCATGCTGTGTTGTCATGTGTTGCTGCCATGCTGTGTTGTTGTCTTAGGTCTCTCTCTATGTATTGTTGTGGTGTCTCTCTTGTCGTGATGTGTGTTTTGTCCTAAATCTTTATTTTTAAACCCAGCCCCCGTCCCTGCAGGAGGCCTTTTGCCTCTTGGTAGACCGTCATTGTAAATACAAATTTGTTCTTAGTTGACTTGCCTAGTTAAATAAAGGTTAAATAAAAATATATAAAATAGAAATGGTATGCAAGTGTGTGTGTAGAGTTAGTATGGGTGTGTGTGAGCAAATGAAGTGTGTGTGTTGGAGTGTGTGTGGGTGAGTGGAGTCCTGTGCATAGTCAGTGCAAAAATATAAATAACTTTGCATTAGTTGCGTTAAGATGAATTATCAAGGTTGTTCTTCACATTAGTATTTCAAATCTCCATATTATCCTTCTCTCTGGGCTTTGTTGAAACTTCATTTTGTGTTTACTTTACTTTCATGGCTGAGGCTCAAGGATAACAGGCCACTGTTACTACAGGCCAACTACTGTAGGTGACCTGACCAGGAAAACTCTGGGCCCTAGAAGTTTGAGGAAGGTGACGGATATAGCTGAATGTTCTTTAAATCAAGGACAAGATCAATAGAACTTAGCATACAGCCTTCTTTCAAAGTGCCTTAGCTGGAGAACAGAATGTTCCAATCATAGAAATATAATTTATTGAGATGGTTTCAATGCTATTGTTAGAGATGAGCACACAAACCGTACATGCAACATCTTTGTACGACATCTGCCCACCTATAGTGCTTCTACTTCCACTCATTATGGTGAAACTAACATCCCCACTACCTGGGCGTCCTGGTCTTTTGTCTGCCATTTTGTGCCGTCTGTATGGTAGTTGCAGTGTTTTCCCACTCCGAGGTGAGCAGCAGGGCTCTTAGGGGTTTCCTCAGAAGATGGAAGAGGTGATCCCAGTGCTTTTACCACAGCTGGTAACCTACAATTACCCTGCCTGTCAGAAGAACGGTGGCTATGCAATCAGACCAGACTGTACCTCATAGTTACGTACTTCAGAGCGAGAGAGCGAGAGGGAACTGGGTGGTTAGACAAAAGTACAAACGTACATGATGTAGCAGATGTACTAGATAATCCAATAGCTGAAGAAAATCTAAACAATAGAGGAGCTGGCTGAAGAATATATTACACATTACACAGATGGGACAAGAGTAAAGGGTGTGCTTCTAGCACTGTGCCTGATTGAAGTATAAAACTCTGAGTTATACTGTGCTGTAGCTCTCGTAAGAGCAAAATCTACATGTTGTTCTGAGATGTATTTTGGTCATGTCTCTCAAGGTTTTGAAAATCATTGACACTATTAGAGGAAAAGTGCTAACTTTCAGATTGCCAGAATCATCTCAGCATGGGTGTCTGCTTAAGTGAGCTAAGCATCTCAGATCCCCTCTCTAAAACGTTGGTCTGTCTGAGTGTCTGTCTGTCTTTGCCTCCCTCCCTCCCTCCCTTAGATGAACTGATCCGTCTCTGTAAGGCAGTGCAGTAATGAGCAGTTGTAAATGCCACTGTTGTTGTTGTTGTAAATGACAGCATTTCCTCTCCCAGTCTATCTGGCTGTTGATGAATCACTCGCTGCTCCTTTCAATGGCCTTGTTGGTCTACAATAATACATTAACTATATCAAAGAGATGGAGAGAACACAACAAGTAAAAGAGTGCTAACTTGCAGTTATCTATCTTGTTAATGTTAAAGGGTGAAGGTTTGAATTTAATTTGACCCCTAGATTTATGTTGTTTTAATGATAATGCTTCTCTTCTCTGTACCAGGGGCTCTGTACTCTGGGCTGCCTCCCTTGAAGACAATTGGAGAGCTGAGAGAATTGATTTCTTTTGACTAACTGAAAGATCTGAAAAACACTGTTTTAAATATATTTTGACTCTCCATATATACAAAAAAAGGTCACCATAATTTGTACACGATTTTATAATAGTTTGAAATTCATTCATGATAATGTGTTTTTTGAATTGTAAGCTTGTTACTTTTGCTGTAAAAATAACTCTCTGACTAGTTGAAATAGTACGTTATAAGAGTAGCCCAGAGCTGGCTGGGCCCAGGCCACGGCGGTGTCACATTTGATCATCTTTCTATTGAAAATAAAAATAAGTTTTTTTTAATGTAGAACGCGAGCGTTGGATTTCCGCAAATATTTTGTGAAAGATAATGAAATAATGAATAGCTGCTCTGTGGATGATGTTGCCTTAAATGTGTATGGTAATGAGTGGATGTCTGTGTGTGTATAGTGTGTCTGTATATGTGTGATTGCATATGTCTTTCTGTGTGTGTGTGTACAGTGTATGAATGCATTATGTCTTTGTGTGTGCGCAAATACAGTGTGTGTGTATGAGTGAGAGAGAATACATTGTGTGCGTGTGTGTGTGTGTGTGCATGAGCATGACTACTGTGTTTGAGTGTGCCAGGGGGCAGTTCTCCAAGAGTACTGGTCTTATTGTGGGGTGTGAGGTCTTTAATGTTGGCCCAGGTAGGCCAGCCCTCCCCAGGGCCCCAGTATCCATCCATTTGACCCGTTTCATCCTAACGCTTTGATCACAGACATGCACACACACACCACGCACAGCACATACGCACAAGTGCCTACACACACACACACACACACACACACAAACCCTTGAAAACTACAATTACGAACAAGCAACAGGTTCATCTAAGCTTCAGGCAGTTTAAAATGCTGCCGTTGCTGTTTTCTCTTCTGTTGTCTCTCTACTCTACAGCATGTCCCTCACTTTCTCCAGGCTTGCACACTTTCCAGAGAAAAGTTTTAAAAAGTTCACAGGAAGTACTGTACTGTATTAGGAAGTACAGAGGTGATAAAGTAGTGAGGTGATGTCACCTCTCAGATAGGACAACTCAACCCCAATAGACAGGATCAGTCTGTGCCTCTATAGCTTTGGGATGGGAAGTCTGTTAATTCTAACGCTACGTTGCTACACAGTTGTGACACTGTTCTCCAGCTAGGCTTGAGGGAGAGACTGTGACGCGTGAAAATAGCATCTCTGTTCTCTCCTTCTCTTTTCTTTCCTCCACTTGAAAATAACATCTCTCTCTCACTTTCCATCTCTTTCCCTCTCATACTCTCCCCTCTCGCTCTCTCTCCCCCCTCATTTCTCTCACTCTCCTCGAGTTGTAATTGCCTCTCTTAGACTCCCGTCACAATCCCCAGTGTCTGCCTGCCACAGACCATCAGCAGCTGAACAAAGGAATCCAACGCTCTCCTTTAATGATGCATGAAAATAGCAGTGCACAGGCATAGAGTGGCCTACTATGTTTTACTGTCATACTGAGAATAGATAAAACCTTATTGAGAAATTATGGTTGGCCTGTGGTTGGTTTTGTAAGAGCAGGATTTGTACCACAGAAAATATTCTGATTGTGTCGTTTGTGTTGTTGTTTGTCTTACCTGTTCCGTAGGTGTACATCCGTATCCTGGACAACGAGTGGAATGTCTACAGACGCTACACAGAATTCCGGGCGCTTCACAACCACTTACGCTCACAATTCCCGCAAGTCGGCACGTTCAACTTCCCACCCAAGAAAGCCATAGGGAACAAGGTATGTACGGTCAGGAAAATCATTGCCTTTGTGATGTAATCAGGTTTTTACTATTGGTCACCCTCCGTCAATGTTGTTTTGAATGACCTGTAGTCAAATGTATTGAATCTGAATGTGATTGTTAAGTCATATTGTGGTCACTTGGCCATAACTTGAGTGGACAGGCTTGGATGTTAGCCATCAGTAGCCCCTAGGAAACATTACCTCCCTCTCCCGTTCTGTCTGTCTTCATCGCACTTCCTCTCTCTCCTTACTCCTTCTACCTCTCTCTCCTTACTCTTTCTCTCACCTCTCTTCTCTCTCTTCTACCTCTCTCCTCCTCCCTATTACTCGCTACTCTCTCTCGCCTTACTTCGCCCTACCTCTTCTCCTTACTTTACCCTCTCTCTACTCTCTATAACATCGTCTACGCTACCTTACTCTCTACATCTCTCTCTCCTTACTTCATACGCGCCTCCTCTCCTCTCTTACTCCTCTACCTCCTACTCTCTACCTCTCTCTCCTTACTCTCTACCTCTCTCTCCTTACTCTCTACCGCTCTCTCCTTACTCTCTACCTCTCTCTCCTTACTCTCTACCGCTCTCTCCTTACTCTCTACCGCTCTCTCCTTACTCTCTACCTCTCTCTCCTTACTCTCTTCCTCCCTCTCCCTCTCAGTTCCAGAGGGAAGGAGTACTTTTTAAGTCTCTGAGTAGAGGAGAGGGGGCTGTGGGTGCTTTTGTTACATAAGTTGTGGAGTAACTTTGACATGGAAACACAAAGGAGTGCACTAAGCCTGGGGGCAGAGTTTAAAACTAGATAGTGTGAGAGGGTGTTTGGAGCTCACAGTAAAGATGTAGGGGCAGAGGGTTCATATAGAGACAGGATTGCGTTGGTAATTGAGTGTGTGTGTGTTTGCGTGTGTGCGCATATGTGTAGGTGAAAGCTTGTATGCATTTGAGAGGGAATTGTGTGTGTACATGGGTAGGTGTGTGTGTGTATGTGTGCATGCATTTGTGTGTCTGTGTGTGTAATCAGTGAGCCTGCTTACCTGAGGTATGGGCTGTCATGTCATTTTTAATCTCATCATTGTTTCCTCTGATTCTCTCTCCCTCCCTCCCTCCTTCACTCCCTCTATCCTCTCAGAAGGAACACTTTGTAGAGAGAAGGCATTGGTTCTTCTCCCTCAGGTGAAGTGTAGTGCGCTGGCAAAAAGCCTCCCCCTCTGTCTATCTGATCTCCGCTGACGGAGACGGTTATGCTGTTATGGAGATGTGTTGTTTAACAGCACTGTAGTCAAACAGATAAACTGTTCTCTTTATTTCACTCACTGGGGACGTACGTTCAGTTCTCTCTCTTCATGGAACACAGCATCGTTGCAGATCGGAAATATGGAATGTCTATGCTGTATATATTCTAAGGAGACTTTGAGCGACGCTGGGGCTTACATGTTGGATGTGTTCAGTTAATAATGGGGGGGATGCTAATATTGGTGTATATGATCAGTGGTCATGGGAAAAGGAGGCTCTCCAAACCCTTTTAAGTGGGTTGCATGGATGTCTGCTACAGAATGGATGAAACGAGAGCGCTGTCACTGGAGATGGGGAAACAGGAAGGAACACACATACACACACACAAGTGTACACACACACTCTGCCTCAGCCCCGCCATGGTTATCCTCATTGAGAAGCCAGAGCTAACAACCTTACACACTGAGGACCCTGGGTCATCATGCCTGCTAAACATACATACACACACACACACACATACACACACACACACACACACACACACACAGAGAGCACCTGATCCTGAGAGAGAGAGAGACGTTTAGCTAATCTTGTCAGTTGGCTACAGCTACTGCATGGGACTGTATTTGAAGGAAGCTCATTCTAATACCCACAGTACCTATAGGATGTATCTGCGTTAGCTTGCAGGATCAGGTGTATGGATCATGGAATGGAAATACAGGTAGTGTTGTGTGATGAAAATGTAATCAATCTCAGTTTTGTGATACAGTTGAAGTCGGAAGTTTACATACACCTTAGCCAAATACATTTAAACTCAGTATTTCACAATTCCTGACATTTAATCCTAGTAAAAATTCCCTGTCTTAGGTCAGTTAGGATCACCACTTTTATTTTAAGAATGTGAAATGTCAGAATAATAGTAGAGAGAATGATTTATTTCAGCTTTTATTTCTTTCATCACATTCCCAGTGGGTCAGAAGTTTACATACACTCAATTAGTATTTGGTAGCATTGCCTTTAAATTGTTTGACTTGGGTCAAACGTTTCGGGTAGCCTTCCACAAGCTTCCCACAATAAGTTGTGTGAATTTTGGCCCATTCCTCCTGACAAAGCTGGTGTAACTGAGTCAGGTTTGTAGGCCTCCATGCTCGCACACGCTTTTTCAGTTCTGCCCACAAATGTTCTATAGGATTGAGGTCAGGGCTTTGTGATGGCCACTCCAATACCTTAACGTTGTTGTCCTTAAGCCATTTTGCCACAACTTTGGAAGTATGCTTGGGGTCATTGTCCATTTGGAAGACCCATTTGCGACCAAGCTTTAACTTCCTGACTGATGTCTTGAGATGTTGCTTCAATATATCCACATAATTTTCCTTCCTCATGATGCCATCTATTTTGTGAAGTGCACCAGTCCCTCCTGCAGCAAAGCACCCCCACAGCATGATGCTGCCACCCCCGTGCTTCACGGTTGGGATGGTGTTCTTTGGCTTGCAAGCAACACCCTTTTTCCTCCAAACATAACGATGGTCATTATGGCCAAACAGTTCTATTTTTGTTTCATCAGACCAGAGGACATTTCTCCAAAAAGTATGATCTTTGTCCCCATGTGCAGTTGCAAACCGTAGTCAGTTTTTTTTAATGGTGGTTTTGGAGCAGTGGCTTCTTCCTTGCTGAGCGGCCTTTCATGTTATGTCGATATAGGACTTGTTTTACTGTGGATATAGATACTTTCGTACCTGTTTCCTCCAGCATCTTCACAAGGTCCTTTGCTGTTTTTCTGGGATTGATTTGCACTTTTCGCACCAAAGTACGTTCATCTCTAGGAGACAGAACGTGTCTCCTTCCTGAGCGGTATGACGGCTGCGTGGTCCCATTGTGTTTATACTTGCATACTATTGTTTGTACAGATGAACGTGGTACCTTCAGGCGTTTGGAAATTGCTCCCAAGGATGAACCAGACTTGTGGAGGTCTTGGCTGATTTCTTTTGATTTTCCCATGATGTCAAGCAAAGAGGCACTGAGTTTGAAGGTAGGCCTTGAAATACATCCACAGGTACTCCTGCAATTGACTCAAATGATGTCAATTAGCCAATCAGAAGCTTCTAAAGCCATGACATCATTTTCTGGAATTTTCCAAGCTGTTTAAAGGACACAGTCAACTTAGTGTATGTAAACTTCTGACCCACTGTAATTGTGATACAGTGAATTATAAGTGAAATAATCTGTCTGTAAACAATTGTTGGAAAAATTACTTGTGTCATGCACAAAGTAGATGTCCTAACCGACTTGCCAAAACTATAGTTTGTTAACAAGAAATGTGTGGAGTGGTTGAAAAACGAGTTTTAATGACTCCAACCTAAGTGTATGTAAACTTCCGACTTCAACTGTATGTCAAGCACCATAACTGCCAGTGTACGTAAGAATCCCAGCTCAATGTATTACCACGGCAACATTATCTGAGCATTACTCGGCGTCCTGCTCTATCTGAGAATCTCCTAACTGCATTGACATAGCATCACACACACACACCCCTGCCACTGACAGCTCCTAAACAGCTGATTTGTCAAGGGCTCGGCTGGCAAAACACACTAAATGTTCCCGAGGGCGCCTGTCATATCTCCCCTGACGGACACCATCGCCATGACTGCGGAAAAAGGAATGAAAACATCAAAGGCTGGGACTGTCTGCTCTGCTCTGCACCCGCTTCCCAGAGTTCAACTGTCAGGGTTTCTCCTCTCAGCTTTGATGGAGGTTTTTCCTCTCTCTCTAGTTCTCTCACTCTCTCTCTCTCTCTCCCCACATCTTTCCCTCCCGTGTTCCTTTCATTTGGATCAAATCACTCAATTTTTCAATGCTGCTTTCCTCTTCCTCCCCTGCTGGGCTGCTTTGTAGAGACAGTGTTAGGGGGTTCCACCAAGTCAGAGAGCTGTTAGAGACTACGGAGCTGTCTACTGTCCTACTCTCTGCCCAACCTAATCATTACAGTAGAAAACCAGCCAGAACTGGAGACCTGGAAACCAGATGCAACCAGAGCGTCATCATTTTGTAAACATTTGATCTTTCTGATGATAATAACATTATATAAGATTGTTATGAAATTAGTGTTAGGTAATATTACAGTACATGGAGGGCTGTAAAAGTCAGGGCTGCCGTTTCACCTTGAGAGACAGAACAGGAGAGCTAAGTGAATAATTAACCAGTAAACGTTGAATAATTAATGAATCTTGAATGTTGTGTTCACATGTAACATGCAATATGCATGTGTAATGCATTTAATGATGGCAAAGAGACTTTGTGGAGGTCTTGTATGAACATCCTGAATTACTTGTGATCTTTTATGCATCACTTGGACGGCGGTTTGTATAAACGTTTTCATAGGAGCAGTCTTTGTTTCTTTGCGTGCCGTATCATAATTCAATGTGGTGGCCTGATTTCTACTCTACTGTATCTTTCTGATGTTTTTGTATTTTAGTCTACACTTCTTCCTGTTTATGACATAGTTGACCTTGTTTTGTAACCAATCTTTATAGTTCACATCTCTTTGTTTATATTATGTATCTTCCAAGCTAAAAATGGTGTGTTTGGCTTGATTGTTGTACCCCTATGGACGATACGTTTCTATTCGCTAAACCCGTCACAAGCGTTGCATTTGAGTTCCATCACAAACAACTCCTTTGAACTTCACAAATCTGTTCATGCCCTACCCATGACCCTTTGCTGGAGCTGTGTTGGCCTACTTTGAGCTCTCGTCGCCTTCCTACCTCTGTCAGGACTACTCATGTCTGTATCACCGCTCTGTGAATTGGCATGGCCGTGCTGTGGCATACGCAACTTTTGGGTTGCTAGACGTTCTCGTTAAATGCTCACCTATCCTCCCCTACAAACCTCCCTCCTATCATTTCTGTCTTAAGTAACCTACTGTCTTAATCTGTGATTGAAATGCACTGTATACAAAATCGTGTACTGCACACAAGAAAATACACTTTTTTGTGTGCCTGTCACGAATTTCCAATAAGCAATTTGTGTCTATTTTACAATAATCTGTGGAACTGAGTTGGGCATACTGTTCCCTCTGATCTTGAGATTTGTCCTCTGTCTCACTTTGACTGTGTGGTTCACTTGTGTCGCCATGCTCTCATGTCATAAACATGCCCGTGTGTATCTGTCTGAGTTGTCTTGTAAATTGATGTAACATGCCTCATAGCGGACAGGTGAAGCCAGTGGCGATCCTATCTATAGCAAAATCTCCATTGTGTCTGTGTGTGTGCTTTCAGTGTTGATGTCCATGCCTGAGTGTGTATGAGTCCCTGAGTGTGTATGAGTCCCTGAGTGTGTATGAGTCCCTGAGTGTGTATGAGTCCCTGAGTGTGTATGAGTCCCTGAGTGTGTATGAGTCCCTGAGTGTGTATGAGTCCCTGAGTGTGTATGAGTCCCTGAGTGTGTATGAGTACCTGAGTGTGTATGAGTACCTGAGTGTGTATGAGTCCCTGAGTGTGTATGAGTCCCTGAGTGTGTATGAGTCCCTGAGTGTGTATGAGTCCCTGAGTGTGTATGAGTCCCTGAGTGTGTATGAGTACCTGAGTGTGTATGAGTCCCTGAGTGTGTATGAGTCCCTGAGTGTGTATTAGTACCTGAGTGTGTATGAGTCCCTGTCTTATAATGAGTTAGATTACAGTAACATGCCTCATATAGCAGACAGGTGAACGCTGGTGGCATAAGAATAGCTCATGTCTTTATATGTGTACATGTAAACATACACCTCCATAGTACCATCTCTGTGTTGACGTCCATGTGTGGGGTAGTTTATGTGAGTCCCTGTCCTATAGTGAGATGTACTATAGTAAAATGAGTCATCTGGAACAGACAGGTTAGGGACGGTGGCAAACAAAGAACTACGGGGCTATATTTGCCTCTATCTGTGTCTCTACACTACTGTCATACGCGTGTGTGTCCATCTGTCTGTCCGTCAGTCAGTGGGCTGCAGCAGGTTAGCCTTAAAACGGCAGGTGAGGATGGTAGCTATAAGTAGAGCTGTACAGCAAAATCGTCAGTGTTCATATCCTGGTGTAAGCAGTTTTGATGTTGTGACGTTACTTTGTGTAACTATGAAGACCAGCTGTTGTTCATATCTTTAATATACTGTTGTTCAATCAGGGAGTTGCCTGTGTTGGTTTTAATAACCAGAGTTGAGTGTGATTATGTCACTCAATGTAGAGTAAAACACTCAAACATTTAAACATGTATTATTTTAAGTGTTTTATTTGAATGATAACACATTTACTTAAGCACTCACTTGGTGAAGGCTACAGGACTGAAAGTGAATGAATACAACAACCATGTCTGTCTAACAAACATAGTCATGGGTGGCAACTCTACAATTCACTCGAAAGGCAGACTGGGAAAAAAGTAGTAATCTAAAGTGTTAAATTCACAGTATCTTTGAACACTGAGTTGTAAAATGTAAATGCCACTGGTGTTGAAAAGTATCAGTTGGACAACACTCAAAAGTGTTGTCGTCACCCAATATAGTGTTCAATATCTACACCATTGGTGTGAGGAAAAGCAAACTGTGACAGTGTTAAAAGAGAAACGCTTAGAAAAGTGTTAATTTAACACTTTTTTCTGGTGGTTCTCATATAAAAACTTCAAAAGTATTAAATTGTACACCCACAGTGTTCAATTGACTGATTGGAATTTGACGGCTTGACATCCACAGAGCCATAGGGGCTAGAGACAATGACTGAGCGAGGCTCAGTGTGTCACTGAGTGAGAGACAGAGAAAGGGGGTGTTACATCTCCATGCAAACAAACCATGAAATGAGACATGGCAGCTGGGACCTTATCTTATCTGACAGCTGGCGTCATTCTCCACCCTCCTACCCTACACACTTATCCATAACTCCTACCTGTACTTTCCCTCTCATTCTCTATGGTACAGTATTAACGTCTCCCTTGCCTCTGTCCTCTCTTCTCCTCCCTAGGATGCCAAGTTTGTAGAGGAGCGTAGGAAACAGCTCCAGTCGTACCTGAGGATGGTGTTGAACAAGCTGATCCAGACCCTGCCAGAGTTCTCTGCTAAACCCACCAAGGAGACCCTGCTGCAGCTGCTGCCCTTCTGCCTGTGAGTGTCAGATGGGGAAAACACACATTTCACAAAGTGCTTCATAATAATATATTGCCTGACACATCTGTGTGTGCGTGAGAATGCGATAGATAATGCAAATTGTTTTGTGAACACATTCAAAGTGACTTATTGTGCCAGCCCAGTCATAGGATCCAGTCATTGCCTGCATCATTTACACCAATTGATGCTGTGACCACTCACAGATCCCAACAAGAATCCTGTCCTGTTCTGTAGCAGCTAATAGTCATAACACCGAGGTTCTAAAACACTGAGATCAAATAAAGAGCTGAGTTGATGATATCTACATTAACAGTAGAGCTGTCTTAGCCATTGATGACTCATCCAAAATGGTGACCTCTCTTTTATGAATGACTGAGCGATTCCTGGTCTGGCCGCAATGTTGTTAATGGGTCCCTGGTTAAGAGGGGGCTGAGATGGAGAGTGAGATATTAGAACCTGATTCCTCAAAAGCTGCACTTGTCATCACTCCTCTCTTGGAAGGTGACTCAGTCTCAACTCACCCCAAAAGTGTCGCCCTTAGTGTTGGCAGTCAGCACGTTCTGCCCAAAATGGCACATTCACAGGAACACAGAAAGCATAGAGTTCAAGTTCTAGCCTCAAGTTCTGGTTTGTGCCAAGAATAAAATAAAAACCCTAAGTGGCATTACTAACCTCTGGTTTCCTTTGCTGACTTCTTGACCTTTTGTCTCCTCCCAGGGACACACCAGTAGCCAGCGAGGGGAGCAGTAAGACAGCCCGGTCCAAAGCCTCGTCACGCTTCCCCAGACTGGGGCGCAACCGAAACCAGGAGGGCCGCAACCCAGAGCCCCAGAGCGGCGACCTCTAACCTCTATCCTCTACACTCTGACCTTTCACCTCCTCTCTGATTTGGGCTGATACTGAGGGTACTTCCTGCTCCTGGACTGACTAAGAGCCAGAGAGAGAGACGGACAGTGGAGGTTATGGAGGGAAGAGGCAACAGCAGGACCTTATATCCTCTATTTCTGGGAACCACAGAGGCTGACTCTGCCTGCTCTCCTACCCTGAGGATTCACTGAAAGACCACACATGGATGAACTGGGTCTAGGACAGACATTAAAACAAGATGGGAGGACTGTTTCCTAATTTTACTCAGTTTTCTAATGAAACTGTATCATGGTCATGGTGGCTGCAGTGTTTTCTAGCTTTTTTTGCGTTGAGGTGAGGGGACAAAGAAAAGTGTTCTTCAAACAAAACTAACATGGTGTTTTCTTGGTCAATGTCAGCATTTTGGTGCCATTTTGTATTTTGACATCATCCCTTTACCTGACATTGACCAAGGCGATGGCCATTCATCTTTTATATTTATTTTACCAATCTGTTACCATACGATAATGTGCACAATGACATATTCCATCACACAATTTAAGAACTTTTAATACAAATATTACTGCTGGACTGATTATCCAGCCGTTCCAATGATTGTGGACTGAATGTGACTTAGCAGGAGACTTAACGGTGAATAGATCTTAGATGAATGTCTTACACTTGGGTAACACTTGAAGAGAAGCCGCTTGATCAAGTGCATGAAAGTTTGTACACAGCTTTAACTTGTATGAAACAGAAATCCGAAATACATACATATTACTCAAGAATAGAGATTACTTCGGGAAAAAATAAGAGATTACTTGGAAAATATGTGATGGAAGTTATTCTTGTGACCGCCCCCCCAGTCAGCTGTCCAATCAGAACTGTTAAAATGAGATGTAAACAGGAAGTTGCAGATGACAACACACTGGGGAAGACTGTAAATCAGTTTGCACACATCAATAATATGAGCAAATTATGAAATGATGACCAATCTTATTTTGAAGCACAATTATCAAATATTAACGATAAACAACAAACTGTTTTTTTTTTCATTCACCCTGACAAACCACGCTGCTGCTGCATATTGTATGTTAAACTTGTAATGGAGAAATGGAGAAACAGGACCCTGGTTCAAACTATTCATAACAAAGCACTTCAATAGATCTAGCTATTCTTTCTACTCAGATATTAAGCGATGTTGTCGTTGCCACTTCTACAGGACCGCTACTAAGGTTAATTTCCTGTTTGTGTTTCATGGCTAGGACCAGGTGTTTTTCCCAGACCATGTGACCTGACCAGGAGAAACTCTGGACCCTAGTTGTAACTGTAACTAGAGCCCAGAGTGTTTCCTGGTCATTTCATGACTAGAGCCCAGAGTGTTGCCCTATCAGGTCACATGGTCAGGAGAAGGAAAAACTTCTGGCCCTCCACAACGTTCCTGTCTTTAGAGGGCTTCTCTTGTACCTTCTGTCCTACCTTTTAGCCCAACAGTCTGCCTTAAATCACTGTCAGTGGCACAGAGAGACTAATGAATAAAGGGGTTCATACTGTACATACAGTGGCTTGCGAAAGTATTTTGGAGCACCCCCCTTTTTCCTATTTTGTTTCCTTACAACCTGGAATTAAAATTGATTTTTTGGGGGGTTTGTATCATTTGATTTACACAACATGCCTACCACTTTGAAGATTTTTTATTGTGAAACAAACAAGAAATAAGACCAAAATAAACAGAACTTGAGCGTGCATAACTATTCACCCCCCAAAGTCAATACTTTGTAGAGCCACCTTTTGCAGCAATTACAGCTGCAAGTCTCTTGGGGTATGTCGCTATAAGCTTGGCACATCTAGCCACTGGGATTTTTGCCCATTCTTCAAGGCAAAACTGCTCCAGCTCCTTCAAGTTGTATGGGTTCCGCTGGTGTACAGCAATCTTTAAGTCATACCACAGATTCTCAATTGGATTGAGGTCTGGGCTTTGACTAGGCCATTCCAAGACGTTTAAATATTTTCCCTTAAACCACTCAAGTGTTGCTTTAGCAGTATGCTTAGGGTCATTGTCCTTCTGGAAGGTGAACCTCCGTCCCAGTCTCAAATCTCTGGAAGACTGAAACGGGTTTCCCTCAAGAATTTCCCTGTATTTAGCGCCATCATTCCTTCAATTCTGACCAGTTTCCCAGTTCCTGCCGATGAAAAACATCCCCACAGCATGATGCTGCCACCACCATGCTTCACTGTGGGGATGGTGTTCTCGGGGGGATGAGAGGTGTTAGGTTTGCGCCAGACATAGCGTTTTCCTTGATGGCCAAAAACCTCAATTTTAGTCTCATCTGACCAGAGTACCTTCTTCCATATGTTTGGGGAGTCTCCCACATGCCTTTTGGCGAACACCAAACGTGTTTGCTTATTTTTTTCTTTAAGCAATGCCTTTTTTCTGGCCACTCTTCCATAAAGCCCAGCTCTGTGTAGTGTACGGCTTAAAGTGGTCCTATGGACAGATACTCCAATCTCCGCTGTGGCTCCTTCAGGGTTATCTTTGGTCTCTTTGTTGCCTCTCTGATTAATGCCCTCCTTGCCTAGTCCGTGGGTTTTGGTGGGCGGCCCTCTCTTGGCAGGTTTGTTGTGGTGCCATATTCTTTCCATTTGTTAATAATGGATTTAATGGTGCTCCGTGCGGTGTTAAAAGTTTTGGATCTTTTTTTTATAACCAAACTCTGATCTGTTATTCTCCACAACTTTGTCCCTGACCTGTTTGGAGAGCTCCTTGGTCTTGATGGTGCCGCTTGCTTGGTGGTGCCCCTTGCTTAGTGGTGTTGCAGACTCTGGGATCTTTCAGAACAGGTGTGTATATATACTGAGGTCATGTGACAGATCATGTGACACTTGGATTGCACACAGGTGGACTTTATTTAACTAATTATGTGACTTCTGAAGGTAATTGGTTGCACCAGATCTTATTTAGGGGCTTCATAGCAAAGGGGGTGAATACATATGCACGCACCACTTTTCCATAATTTATTTTTTAGAAAATATTTTAACAGGTTATTTTTTTAATTTCACTTCACCAATTTAGACTATTTTGTGTATGTCCATTACATGAAATCCAAATAAAAATCCATTTAAATTACAGGTTGTAATGCAACAAAATAGGAAAAACGCCAAGGGGGATGAATACTTTTGCAAGGCACTGTACATACCAATGGTGTTGTTATTGTGGTGTTATACATATGGAAGTCTAAAGCAGGAACTGATCTGTGACAATGTTGGTTCTTGATGATTCATTAAGGGCATGAACATTAGAATTGTAAATGAATTGGGTGGATGTACATATGTATACATCAACGTATGTACAGTATATACAGTATGTACAGAGCCTTCAGAAAGTATTCACACCCCTTGACTTTTTCCACATTTTGTTGTGTTTTAAAGTGGGATTAAAATGGATTTAATTGTAATTTTTGGTCAACAATCTACACAAAATACTCAGTCAAAGTGGAAGAAAAATTATAAAATTTGTAAAAAATAATATGAAAAATAAAACATATCTTGATTAGATAAGTATTCAACCCCCTGAGTCAATACATGTTAGAATCACCTTTGGCAGTGATTACAGCTGCAGGTCTTTCTGGGTAAATATCTTAAGAGCTTTCCACACCTGGATTGAGCCCATTATTCTTTTCAAAATTCTTCAAGCTCTGTCATATTGGTTGTTGATCATTGCTAAACACATTTTCAGGTCTTGCCATAGATTTTCAAGCAGATTTTAGTCAAAACTGTAACTCGGCCACTCAGGAACATACACTGTCTTCTTGGTAAACTACTCCAGTGTAGATTTGGCCTTAAGTTATTGTCCTGCTGAAACGTGAATTCATCTCTCAGTGTCTGGTGGAAACAGACTGAACCAGGTTTTCCTCTAGGAATTTGCCTGTGCTTAGCTCCATTCTGTTTATTTTTTATCCTGAAAAACTCCCCAGTCCTTAACGATTACAAGCATACCCATAACATGATGCAGCCACCACTATGCTTGAAAATATGGAGAGTGGTACTCAGTAATGTGTGGTATTGGTATTGGTCACTCACCAGAAATGTGACTTCCTGGACCTGGATCCTTTGTTTGAACTGCCCAAGGCAGCCCTATTCTTCCCGGGTGATACTCCAAAACGTCGCCGCCGGAGTGGGGTTCTTGTCAGACTCAGGAGGCATGCATACCATCCACCGCTTCCGAGTATATTACTCGCTAACTTTCAGTCACTGGACAATAAAATAGATGAGCTCAGGGCGAGGATCTCCTTCCAGAGAGACATAAGGGACTGTAACATACTCTGTTTTACGAAATCGTGGCTCTCTCCCGATATATTGTTCCTGTCCATACAACCAGCGTGGTTCTCCGTTCAGCGTGGTTCTCCGTTCATTGCATGGACAGGAACAAAGCACACTTCGAGAAACACAGAGGCGCACGGGTATGTCTCATGATTAACAACACATGGTGTGATTGTGGTAACCTACAGGAACTCAAGTCCTTTTGTTCTCCCGATCTGGAATACCTCACCATCAAATGCTGACTGCATTACCTACCGAGATAATTTTATAGTCACTCGTGTACATTCCTCCACAAGCCGACACCGCGACAGCTCTCAAGGAGCTACACTGTTCCTTTGTGCAAACTGAAAACCGTGTATCCTGTGGCCGCATTTATTGTAGCTGGGACTTTAATAAAGGACATCTGAGGAAAACGCTCCCAAAATTCTATCAACACATCTCCTTTGCTACTCGCGGCGCGAACATTATTGACCATTGCTACTCTCCTTTCCGGGACGGCTACAAGGCCCTCCCAGGTTCTCCATTTGGGAAATCTGATCAAGCCTCCATCCTGCTCCTCCCCACCAATAGGCAGAAATGTAAGCAGGAAGCACTCGTGGTAAGGACTGTTCAACATTGATCTGACCAATCGGAAACTATGCTTTTGATAATAATATAATAATAATATGCCATTTAGCAGAC